ACGGGCCGCCTGGCAGCCCTCAACCGCTTTCTATCTAAATCGGCGGAGAAGTCTCTACCCTTCTTCCAGATCATGAGGAAGACGGCTGGCTTTCTGTGGACTCCAGAATGCCAGGGGGCTTTCGACGAGCTCAAACGATATCTATCTTCACCTCCTGTGCTCTCCAAACCCAAGGTAGGGGAGACCCTCTACCTCTACCTTAGGGTTAGCCCGACGGCCATCAGCTCTGTGCTCATCCGGGAGGAAGACGACATCCAACATGCCATCTTCTACGTTAGCAAGACCCTGAGGGAGGCCGAGCTCAGGTACTCCCCTGTGGAAAAAACGGTGTTAGCCATCGTTTGGACTGTCAAGAAGTTGGGCCACTACTTTCAGGCTCACCCGGTTCAGATCCTCACCCATCAACCCCTCGGCGCCCTCATGAGGAGCCCCACCAGCTCCTCCCGCATGGTGAAATGGGCTATCTTCTTGAGCCAGTACAACATTGACATCCGTCCAAGGCCTGCCATCAAGGGCCAAGCCCTGGCGGACTTTGTGACGGAATGTACCGCAAGGGCAGCCACGGACGGAGAGCCCTCGGCTACCTCAGACGACTGGTGGACCCTCTACACTGATGGCTCCTCCGCGACCAAAGCATGCGGGGGAGGGGTAGTCCTCATTACTCCCGAGGGCTTCAGGGCCTACTATGCAATCCGCTTCTCCTTCAAGGTCTCCAACAATGAGGCCGAATATGAGGCCCTCCTATGTGGCCTTCGGCTGGCTGCCAACATGAGGGCTCGGCAGATCCACATCAAATGCGACTCCAAGTTGGTCGTTGGCCAAATCTCCGAAGAATATGAGGCCAAGGAGGGGAGAATGAAACAGTACAAGGAAGCGGCCAAGGAGTTGCTTAAGGTATTTGAGGCACACTCTCTCACTCAAATACCGAGGGCTCAGAACTCCGAGGCCGACATATTATCTAAGCTCTCGGCCGACTCCCCCGAGCACATCTCCAAAATTGCCAAAATCGAGGAACTCAGCCTCTCAAGCATCCATGCAAGCCCCGTTATGAACATACAACAACGTCAGGAGGATTGGATCTCAGATATCACCGCCTTCATCTCCACAGGGCAGCTACCCGAGAATGAGGCCCGCGCTAAACTGGCAAAACTGAGGGCTCCCAGCTACACCATCGAAGATGGAAGGCTCTACAAACGATCTTACAATGGCACGCTACTTCGGTGCCTTCATCCAGATGAAGCCGAGGTCGCGATGGAGGAAGTGCACAGTGGCACTTGCTCAGCTCACTAGGGACCCTTCTCCATGTCCCGAAGGCTCATTCTCCAGGGCTACTTCTGGCCAACCATGGCCAGGGATTGTGCTGACCTTGCCCGGAGGTGCACCGCATGTCAACATTTCCAGAAAGCTCCCGGCAGGCCAGCGGTCAACTATGCCCCCATCAGCACCTCTGTCCCATTTTCTCGATGGGGGATAGACCTTGTGGGCCCTCTGCCGAGGGGTACCTCCAACAACAGATACATCATTGTGGCCGTCGACTATTTTACCAAGTGGGTGGAGGCTGAACCCCTCGCCAGCATCACAGAGGCGAAGTGCTGTCACTTCGTCCTCAAGAACATCCTCACAAGGTTTGGCGTCCCCCAGCAGATCATCTCCGACAATGGGACACAATTTGAGGCAGCCCCCTTCTGTGCCCTTCTGGAGGCATGGGGCATCAAACACACCTTCTCCTCCGTTGCCTACCCTCAAGGCAACGGGCAAGTAGAGAACGCCAACCGGACCTTGCTCGAGGGCCTCAAAAAGAAGCTGGAGGTCGAGGGTGGTGGCTGGGTGGAAGAACTCCACAACATCCTTTGGGCCTATCGCACCACCCCTCGGCGAGCAACAGGTGAAACACCCTTCTCCCACTGCTACGGTTTTGAAGCCAAAGCTCCTACGGAAGTCACCCTTCCCACCCGAAGGGTGATCCAATATGACCCCGAGGTCAACGACAGCAACATGGCTCTCGACCTCCACCTCATTTCAGAACGCCGGGAGCAGGCCTTCATCCGGGCAGAAAACTACCGAAGGCAAGTTAAAAGCTACATCGACGCCAAAGTTCGCACCCGAGAATTTCAAGCGGGGGACTATGTCCTCCGGAGGAGGGAAGCCAGCCAACCAACCGAGGGAGGAAAAATGGCACCAAAATTCGAAGGCCCCAACATCATAGCAGCCATCATCAAACCCGGGACCTACAAGCTCAAACGCCCCAATGGGAAAGAAGTCCCTAGGCACTGGAATGTACACCATTTAGTTAAATTTTATCAATAATGTAAGAGCGGCCAAGCCCTCATAACTAGTGAATGTACTATCCTATGGCCCAAGGCCTCCAATTTCGAAGAATGAAGATACATTCAAGACATCAAGCCCTCATACTGACTACAGGCCCCAGGCCTCACCACGAGAAGAACCCCCTCCGGCACCAAGTGCCGAGGGCGGACACCATCAACACCTACAACATCGGTGAAAACACCACGTGTTTTCAGTCAAGACCCCTCGGTACCAAGTGCCGAGGGAAGGAACTCCTATCACCAACAACAAGGAACACCATGTGTTTCATTTCCCTTCGGCACCCAGTGCCGAGGGTACATCCCCACCTTCAACATTAAAAAAGAAAAGATGAGAACACCAAGTGTTCCTACAGAAGACCCTTCGGCACCCAGTGTCGAGGGTACACCTCCATCATCAAACGTCGAAACGAAAAAAAAAACACCAAAATGTTTCAAAGAAGACCCCTCGGCACCCAGTGCCAGGGATACGCTCTCCTATCAACTTCCAAACATCTGTTGGGAAACGCTGAGTGTTTCCTTTGAAGACCCTTCGGTACCAAGTACCGAGGGTAGACGCCTACATCAACTACGACAAAAGAGAACACCAAGTGTTCCTACAAAAGACCCCTCGGTACCAAGTACCGGGGGCTACACATCGAAACTAACACCAAGTGTTGTTTCTAAAAGCCGTACCCCACGAGGACGCATATACCGAAGGCGCCACCATCGGTGCCGGCGGCACGTACTGCCCTCGGCCATTTGCAACTAGTGTGCAAATGAAAACCTTTCCTTGAAACGCTTTCCGCGTCACTACCCCCAGGGTATGACAGGCATGAGAAATGCCCAGGATTCGACTTTCAAAAACGGAACGTTATCCGCGTCACTACCCCCAGGGTATGACAGGCATGAGAAATGCCCAGGATTCGACTTCCAAACCGAAACGCTCCCCACGCCACCACCCCAAGGGTGTGGCAGGCCACGGACTATTTCTAGCGCCGAGGGGACGACTTTCAAGAATGAGGCGCTTTCCGCGCCATCCCCCAAGGGGAGGCAGGTTACGGACCACCATATCTTGTGCCCAGGAAACGTCCCTCGATCCCCTTGGAACTCGGAAGGTTAACCCGAGGGAGGAGAGCCATTGGTGTATTCTGATGGTCTCCTAATAGGCCCAGCCTTACCAAGAAACCAAGTTTCTTGATGCCTTCCCTTCACCACCAACCAAAAAAAAGGGGGGGGGGGGGGGGGGGGGGTGAAGGGGAGTAGACTCAGCGAGAAATCAAAGAGTACACTCCAACAGATCACAACATCCCGAGGGCTCCCCACGGGGACACCTCCGGTAATTGAAGGCTCCTATTTCCTGAAGGATACCACTCAAACAAATATCATCAGGAAACGGCTAAGTCCACTGCCTGGTCACCTCCGGTCACACAGGCACCGAAGGCTCCAGCAAGGGTCGAAATCTACACCTTTTAAAAAATATGCCGAGGGCACACACTCATCGTTGGCATTCTTCACAACAACAGGATTCCACACATATTTGGCCCCTCGGCCAGAGACTCATACAACACAAGGGATCTACACCCGGAAGCTCAACACCAATTTATGCTTAGAAAATATTCTAAGTCCTAAATTAGTAGCCCTCAGGCATCTCGCAAAGTAATGCAGAGTCAGATGGCAACTATCACCCGAAGGCTACACAAAGAAACAACACTTGAAAAAATTCCAAGTCCTAAAATTGGGCCCCCGGCTCAATCAACATTACAGCCAGGGGAATACAATAGCCGAAGGCTATGCGATACAACAACACTTGCAAACAAAAAAAAAATCTATGTCCTAAAGATGGGCCCCCGGCTCAGTCAGTATTGCAGCTAGAGGAATATGACAGTCGAAGGCCATACATCAAGAAGGGATGCCATCTCCCGAAGGCTCCCAAGGGAAAATCCACACTTAGAATATTTTCTAAGTCCTACATGCTTTTCCCCGGTCAGCTACTCATACATCAAGGAGGGATGCCATCTCCCGAGGGCTCCCAAGGGAGATTTTACACTTAGAATATTTTCTAAGTCCTGCATATTTTCCCCCCCGGTCAGCTACTCATACATCATGGAGGGATGCCACCTCCCGAAGGCTCCCAAGGGAAACTCTGCACTTAGAAGATTTTCTAAGTCCTACATATTTCACCCTCATCTCAAGGGACCTAATTGCCGAAGGCTACCTATCAATCGAGGGCTACGGTACACAAGGAATCAACACTCAAGAAAATTTTCTAAGTCCTAAAGAATTAACCCCCGGCCTATTCAATATTTCAGTTGGGGCTCCACAGTAGCCGAAGGCTACATGACATACTACACTTGCAAAAAATCTCTAAGTCCTGTGCATTGGGCCCTCGGTCCAACATTCACACATCAGGAAGGGATGCCATATCCCGAAGGCTCTCAAGGGGAAATCTACACTTAGAAACTTTTCTAAGTCCTAGGATTTGGGCTACTGCAAACACCCGAAGGCCCTATGGTGTGCTACACTTAGAAAAATTTTCTAAGTCCTAATTGCTGCTGAACCCTCGGTTGCATATCCAGCCGAAGGTGCCCAACTACCGAATGCTTCCAAGGGCAAGCTACAATCAGAAAACATTCTAAGTCCTAAAACATACATTCAAGAAGTAGAAGGCATACATTCAAAACATAAGGCGAACTCAAATGTAAAGAGCCCGGGGGCAGCATGCATTCATCAAAAACAAAGTAAGTGTGAAATTTACAAGCAGGCCGAAACCGAAGGATGAATAATGTCATCATTACAAATACATGTTTACATGATACAAAATACATATCAAATCATGTCATTCCCGGGGGCCGCCTCCCCCGATGGCTTCGAGGTGACTTCTGCGTCGGCCTCAGGTTCGTCGCCCTCGGCTTCCTTCATGAGCTCAGAGTCCTCCAGGTCTGGCCTCTCGACATCGGGGGGAAGAGGAACGCGGATGTCTGGCTGCAGGGGGGAGCCCGTATGCTGCCGGGTCAAAGTCCTTTGGCTCGATCTTCAAGTGGCGAGCCATCCTCCGGTAGATGAGGGCTTGAGTGAAAAACTCGCCCCCATCATAGTATTGTTTACCCTTTCGGGAAACCCACTCCACGCCAGGCCCATCACACCACTCGTCGATCGAGGACTCGACGACCGAGGACAGCCATTGCTTGTGCTCCTCGGACCGCCACCCCCCCTGCCAAGAACCCCGAGATTGCGTCCCCTCGGGCTCTCTCGACGGCTTCCACCTTCGCGGCCTCGGCTTCCTTGACAACTTTCTCCAAGGCCTCAGCTGCGGACCTCTCGGCTTCTGCCCTACCCCGATCTGCGGCCTCCGCCCGCAGGGTCATCTGCCGAAGGCTCTCCTCCAGCATAGCCATCTGCCGAACAGCGTCTGCATTCTGGCGGATGAGCTCCCGCATCTTGGCCTCCTGCTCGGCCTTGCGAAGGCGCCACTCCTCTAGCCGCCGGGCTTGCTCCCCGAGGGCAATGCAGGTCTACAAAAACAAAGGGGTTAGCGAGGCCAAACATGGTTTCTTAGCTCGAAGTAAAAAAGAAAGAAATAAACATAAAAGACTTACTGTGAGGGAAGACCGGAGGATCCTGTCCTCGAGGGCTTCGTCTTCATCAACCCTGAGGGCTACTCTGTCAATCTCGAGGGTGATGCCTCTCAGAAGCGCCCTCGGGTCGGCCGTACCGTTCATCACGGCCGTACCAGCCGGGAGGGAAACCATGAGGACTTCGGAAGATGGCCCCTGAACTCCCGGCGGCACTTTCGCCACCTGCATGTCCTCATTCGCCCCGGAGGCAGGGCCTTCATCGACAATGATCACCGGGGGGACTTTCTTCCTGGCATCCCCGGTCTTGGGCTTCTTGCCCTCGGGATCTCTGCCCGAGCCCTTCCTTTTGGCGGCAGCAGCAGCATCAGTACTTGGGCCCACCGACGGCCCCTCCGGTTTTTTGAAGAAGTCACCGGCGGGTTTTGGGACGCCGACGTCTGTCCCCCTCGGGCCCTTGGAGGGTTTTTTCTTCTTCAGGTCTGCAAGGCCTCTGACGTTCATCATTTTCACTAGGACACCTGCAAAAAAAAAAAGGTATGGGGTTAAAATCGAGGGGTCGCTGACCGAAGGCACAAAGAATAAAAAAAAACACGAACAAGATAAGCTATGTGCTAAGATATGAAAACCGAGGGACCTCGTAGACTACCTCCTGTTCCCCCGAAGGCCTCAGCAAAAATGGGGTACTTCTCGTCCGCTTCCCCAATAAATCGGTATCTCCGAAAGCCGAGGGCGTAGAATCCCTTGTCGGCAGTATAGTCTTTGATGGAGACCTGCTTTGTGCGACCCTCCGGGATTTTGGCTATCACCAGGCCGTCTTTTTCGAGGGCGGCGCTTCCAACCTTCGGATGCCGACGGAAGCGATCCCGAAGTTCCGCCGGAAATGGGTTCTCAGCAACCCTGACATAGCATCAGCGCTCCTTCCAGCCCTTATTGGACGAAGGCGCCTCCGTGAACAGCTTCCACATGGCCACCTGCTGCAGGTTGGCGAAGCCCTCGGCATTCGCGTGACCCCCTCGACAGAGGTTGAAGCTCTGGAAGAACAAGTCCAGGCTGGGGGTCACCCCTCGGTCCCTACAGAGGTTTAAAAAACCCGCCACGTAGGAGTGGCTATTAGGTGTCAGCTGGCAGGGTACCAAGCCAACAAACCTCAGGTACTCCCGGAGGAAGGGGTGCAGAGGGAACCGAAGGCCCATGGAGACCGACAGTACGTGTACTGCAATGCACCCCTCAGGCGCCCGAGAGAGCACATCGTCAACTCCCGGCTCGACCACCTCGGCCGAGGGCCCTACATGTAGCTGCGTCACGTAGAGGTCTGCCCTGTCCGCCTTCAACTTTATCTCCAACGCAGCCGTGTTGAGCCAGGAATACCCCTCCGGCATATCTACGGGTTTCCCCTGATCAGCAGCAATAACCTTCTTTTTGGGGACAGCTGCCTTGGCCTTCTTCTTCCCGGGGGCCACCCGGATGGGAACTGCATTCAGCGGCTGGGAAGTACTGGCCTCACCAGCACCCCGAGGGGGAAGGACGGCCACAGTGACCTTCGCCCTCTCCTTTTCCTCCTCCTCTTCAGCAACTTGGACGGCGAGGGCCAACTCTTCATCCTCGGCAGTTCGCTCAAATTCCTCCGCCTCGGCCTCGGCCATCAGATCCTTCTGCACCTCAGTCGCGAGGGCTGCATCACCACCATCCGAGGGCTGACCACTGCTGGACTCCACGTCGGAGATGCTTTCGTCCTTCATCGAGGGCGTCCTCGAGATATCTTGAGAATCACTCTGGGACGACATTCACACTCTAGTCCGAGGGCACGTAGACGCTAGTGTTTCCTAACTTTTCTATCTCCTAACCTAAGGGAACAGTACAGGTAGCTAAGAAATGAAGGGAAAGCGGGCACTGACCTTGAAAGCAGAAGTTTCGACCGAAGGCCTGATTTTCTCTCACTAGATTTTTTGGCAGAGCTTCGCTAAGACAACTGAGTTCGCACAGCGGGAATGGCTCTGGCCTTGGGTATTTATAGGCGCTGGAATCCGGGCTTGGGCCCGGAAACCGGGCCTCCGGACGGACCGCCATCATTACACACCGCCGTTTCACCCAACCGGTGAAGCCGCCCGCGAACAGCCAGCCATCACACGCCACGTGTACCACCCCCCCAACGGCTATAGCCTGTCGTTACATATTCCAACGGCTATATTTCCAACGGCTATATTCTGGAAGCCCCCGGGTTTTCTACTTCACTCCACTTCATCAAGGATAGCCTCCGGGTACACTCACTCAGAAGTGCCCCCGGGTTGTGCCCCACACAGCACATAACAGACGCCTTCGGGATCACTCCCTCAGAAACACAGGGCTTCATATCAGGGCACCCCTCGGGGATTCCCCCTCAGCGCTGCAAAACCGGGTAGCCCCCGGGGAGTTACCTCATTGACGGATAACCTGTGGCACACAGGTAATGGGAGCCCTCGGGTATCTTCATCACCAACTAATCAACAAACAGTGGACCCCCCGGCGACAGTTAAATTACTGCCCTCATCCAGCAGGCCCTCGATCCCCGGATTGAGGGGCTCCCCTTCGGCACCCCCAGGATATCAACAGCAAGCCTTCGGCTGATCAATACATGAGCCCTCAGGAAAAGAAGAGCCTTCGGCATTACCGTATTCTCCATTTTTGACCAAGGTTTGACATTTTCGATTCATCATTGGGGGAATTCGGTGCACTCTTTTTCCCTCATTAGGATTTTTTCCCCCAGGGTTTTTCCTAATGAGGTTTTTAACGAGGCATCCCCCCAAAATGAAACGAAAAGCGTCAGCCTTCGGCCCACAACAGCAACGCAACTACTCTACTCCTTTTCACCACTTTACAAGTGCCTCAAGGAGTGGGGGACTGGAGGACCCCCTCGGGAAAATCATTAAATTACAAAAGATGTAGAAATTCCAACAAACAACAGAGCAAGCCCTCAAGTCCCGATATGTGGGTAACTGAGGGACTGCCTTCGGCAGGGACATAAAAGCAACAACTCCTCACCAACTTCAGAGATCACGACGGGACAACATCAAGGGGCAAGCACAAATTACTCCTTTTCCCTCAAGTACCTTTCGGCAAAAGGAGTGAGGGACTCCTGATGGAGTATATGGCCCGGGAACCCCCGGCCCACAGACTCCTACTACTCCAGCGAAGGCCCAAAAGGCCCAAAAGGCCCAACAGGCCCAAATCACAGCGCCCAGAGTACCAAGCAGTCCGCACTACGCGCCAGGGGTGCCTTCGGCCCCCTGGCCGAAGGCTCCAAATTCTCACAGAACGGGTTTCTCAAGCAAATTAAGAAATTGGGAGAGAACGGCGAAAACAGTAGCCCTCGGCACCTGGAGCCCTCGGCACCAGGGTGCCATCGGGTGGAAGAGCCCTCGGCTACTGCTCTATAGCCGAAGGCATCTCACTCGACAAGATATCCGCCTCACATGCGCACAGATCACCGTACCCCGCATAGACGTCCCATCCAACAGCCGCATTAAATGCGGCCACATGCGGCTGCCAGCGCCAACCAGCTGAGGTGACCCCTCGGCCAATGAGCGCTTGACACGTGTCCCTGCCCGACATTTATTGCTACTATAAATAGCACCCCATTTCCTCATTTGTAACCACGCTGAAAACGGCATTCATACTGAATACACTCTCTCTCTACTTTTACTTACTTGCTCTGACTTCTCTCTAAGTTATTCTCCGTAATAACCCTTCGGATATATACCCCCGGGTAGACTATCCATCAAAAATAAACAAAGAGAACAAGAGAGAAACATATTACCAACAATCCAGCATGTAAAGAGGGCATATATGAGAAACTATCTATGTGTTCAACTTGTGTTTCATGACATTCAGAACCATCCATAATGCTAAGCAAGAATTCAAGAGCATGCCTCTTCAAATCCCATGAAAGCACAACACAAGAAAATACATGCTTTAGCAATGCCACTGTCTTTCATCTCTTAGTCTAATCATTTTGGAGCTCTTTTCTTAATGCACCTATATCTTCTGTAGTAGTATATCAGTAGAAAAGAAAAAAACGGGTCTTCAAATTCAAAAACTGTGTGTGATTTAGTATAGCCATTTCCCATATATGGATCTCATTGACATGAGATGAACATGACTCTCTCACACTTTGTTAACGTTGATACACATCCTATGTTTTAATTATGTTGTGATTCTTCCTACACTTGATCGAATTAAAATAAAGATAAAGTTCTGAAATAGAACTATAATTTATTTATTCCTGAAATGTGACTTCTCCACTCTCATTTTGATAAGATCTAATCACTTTGTACTTTTAAACACACTTATTTTCCCAATGGCCGCTTTTGTCTTGGAAACAAAACTATCTTTTCATTTAAAAAGATGTCAACAAAGTTGAGGAAGATAGTGCACCAAAATTAACCAAAGCTCAAAGAGAAGGCAACATGGAAGCAAGTAATTGGCTATTAAATACCTCATCTGTCTATATATGTCCTTAATGACCACACCTTCTTATGAAATACTAATTCTAGATTTAATTCCATAAGAGCAGTTACAAAAGAGCACCTCTTCCTATTGTCTCTATTATTAAAGAAAGTCTTATAATTCATATTGTTGCTCTTACTACCCCTAAGAAACTTCAGCTATCTTATAAAGTTCCGATTCAGATTTTTTTTATATAAAAATTCAAAGTAAAATGACATACCTTTCAGGAGGAACAATGCTTGCACAAGTTTGCTTGCAATCTGGTCAGACTTAGAGGGAACACAAGACAAAGAGCATCAGTTACTAAAAGTTCTGATATATATGATGTCGTAGTTAATGAGTGATACATTTTTAATGACAAATAATGGAAAAATAGACACCACCCTCCAAAAATTAGTATACTCTTGAAAATGTTAATTGCTATCTAATACAATACCATTAAATCATACACACAAAGTACCTGGTGCAAACATTAAAGTTTGATTTTCTGAACCATTTTTTCTACTATAAAATTCGCTGGAGTGGACTCTATTAAAAATTACTTCAGTAGACATAAACATACTTCAAGAGTAGAACATTCTTTCAATTGCATCTATTTACTTTAGTATATCCTAATAGATACCTTCCCAGGAATTATTTACTGCAAGGAAACGTTTGGAGTTCTTTGATTGGCAACAAATGAGGAACTAATTGGCCATGTAATGAAAGCGAAGGCAACAAGGAAGCAACTAATGATCTGAAAATTTACACCTCAAAGCATTGGCCAAATCATTTAACAATCTCAAATCCAAATCCCACTATATCCTAAAAGTAAACCAGTCCCTCAAACATAAACAGTTTATCCCAAACTTCGCCATAGTTATTCTATAGGACATCATTGTTTGGCCTTATTCATCTTACTTGTTGGATGGTGAATTAATATGTTTTTCATAAGCATGCAGTGAACACAAAAGAGTCTAAAATATCATTTAGACATATTCACAAGCACCTAGTGTGCAGTAAAGAAATTTTATTTTGCCTCCTAAATTAAGTGCACACACAAAATCTTAATTGAAAGCATTTGATACTGCAACCATGGCAGTACAGAACTAAACCACATCTTCTTTCAAAGTAAGCACGTGAATGGCTAGACAACAACGACCAAAGAAATATATATCAGTGTGATTGTGCAACCTGTGTAAAAAAAAGTGAAAACAAGAACAAAAAAGGAAAGAAGACGCATCTGGAGAAGTGTGAGGTTGCGGGAAAAATCATATGCCAACAGAAGAACAGGTTCATCAGTGGATTTCCATAACTTCCTCTGGAGAGGAGAAGAATCGATGTGTTGAAATTAAACAGGTTCATAAATGTCAGAGTAATGAAGACTGGAAGAAATTAAAAAAGACTTATAGGAATACAAGAAAAACAATAAACACTTAAAGTTTATTAAACAAGACGAACAATACAACCTGCAGGCACATAATACTTTCAAAGTAAGCACGTCAATGGCTAGACAACAACGACCAAAGAAATATATATTAGTGTGATTGTGCAACCTGTGTAAAAAAAGTGAAAACAAGAACAAAAAAGGAAAGAAGACGCAACTGGAGAAGTGTGAGGTTGCGGGAAAAATCATATGCCAACAGAAGAACAGGTTCATCAGTGGATTTCCATAACTTCCTCTGGAGAGGAGAAGAATCGATGTGTTGAAATTAAACAGGTTCATAAATGTCAGAGTAATGAAGACTGGAAGAAATTAAAAAAAGACTTATAGGAATACAAGAAAAACAATAAACACTTAAAGTTTATTAAACAAGAAGAACAATACAACCTGCAAGCACATAATATCAATACAAGAGAAACAATATTAGTGTTTTATAAAAACAAATTAAATTGTATTAATAGAATAATAGCTATATACAAACACAACAAGTTACCTGCCTGTTGGGATCTTTGGAGCGTTCTGCAGACAGGAACGCAATAGCCATGAAATAATCATCCCACGACAAATAACTGCACTTGTGATACACAACATTTATATACAGAAAAATACTTTAAATAGAGGATAAAGGCATTTCCAGTATATTCTTACCTTTCCCGTTTGGACGGATCAAATGGGCTCCTCAGTGAATGTTTCGGTGCCCCATTAATTTCCAAGTCGGCACCGAAGGGCGGCGAGCGGTATTTTCGGCGGCTGACAAATAGACGAACTGCAGTGGCGTATGCAGCGGCGCCCATCACTCCGGCGACTAAGATCAACGCCATATCTCTGGATTTCATATATGACCGTTCAAGAGACTGATAAGAAGACGGTAAAGCGGAAGGTAAGAAGGATTTTTTGCCAGAGTCGAGAGACATCCGGGTTTAGAGGTTTAGGGAAGCGAGTTTCCTTGGCCTTATGATTCAATCGAACTGATGGTCATGTTCGGCTAAAGAGGAAGCCATGAGCGAAACGGTTTTGGGCCTTGGAATATTAACAGAGACAAACGGAGTGTAAGGAAATAATGCTAAGAGAAGTTAAAATTTACAAGCATCTAAACATTATGTACATGTCAATTAAGCTTAGAATACCACCAACAAATTTTTCTGTACCTACAATACCCTAACTCTCATTCAGCCTTATAAGATTGTAGAGAAATAGACTGGTCACTTCTGCTCAGCTTGATTATCGGAGGGGGCGATTAGGACTGTGTTGTCATGTTAGACATAGGGGAAAAATGAATCAGGCAACTGGATTCAGGGATGGATCTACTATGAGGGCGGGGGGAAGCTGGTCTCACTCAACCCCCCCCCAACCCTAATACACACATACATACATACATACATACATACATACATACACACACACACACACACACATACATACACACACACATACACACACACATACACACATGCACACATGCACACATGCACACAAGCACACACGCACACATGCACACACGCACACATGCACACATGCATACATACATACATACATACATATTAAATATAAAGTTGTACATTTTAAATATGTATGAAGAAAATATTTTACGCATTAATGATGACTTAGAAACCAAAGAGCTACTGCACCAAAGAACTAATGGACAGGTCTAGTGTTTGAATCCTCCAAACAATTATTTATATTTTGTTTTACTTCTGTCTTTTTAATCTCTAACTTAATTTAAAATGACTTTACATAGTTGTAATTAAACGTTGGCGTGTTTGAACTACTTCAATATAATTACAATTTAATTTTTCGCATAAAATTTGTGAAGTTTAATAGTTGCATTGTTAGTTTAATACATACTACGGTATTTATTTTGAATATACTTGTGAATTCACAACTTAATTAATTCTAAAAACATTTTTGATTCATTCCTTGTTTCATTCTTATTGTTTAACATAATTTTTAAAAAATTACAAGCTATGTGACCAAACTAGGGGTGGGCAAAAGACCCGGTCCCGTTGGTCCGTTCTGGAATGTTCCAGTTCCGTTCTGAAATTGTCCCGTTTAATTCGGGACAAACTATTTTTGTCCCGTTCCGGTTCCTAACCGTTTCAAAACAAAATGGGACCGGGACTAATAAAATATGTCTCATTCCGTCCCGTTGTCCCGAATTCAAAATTGTATATAGTTGTGGGTTAGTGAGTCTACCATCAATTCAGATACTAATGAATATTAATTAGGTATTAGTTATCTAATATGTAAAACACCTAAAGGAGTCTAAATTATCAATTATATGAACTATCTTCTACATACTAAAAGGAAACTCACGTATACTCCACATGTTTCACTTCTAATAATATTGTTTGTCTTTTTTTATCTTTGCAGTTTCTTAGTAGTATTGTGTGTGTTGGAGTTATTGTTGTTGTTACAGTTTGTTTGGTGCAACTATCCTATTAATCTACTATTTTTTGTGTTGCATTTACCGTAAAAAAATTTATAAGTTGCATTTTTAGTGTTGGAGTTTTTTGTCATGAAGTTTATTTTGGAACTGTATTTTTTTCGTTGCAATTTTTTTGGGATGTCCCGAACCGTCCTGTTCTGTTCCGGTACCGGTTTAAAAGGACAAAAGCGGGACAATGTCTTGTCCCGTCGCGTTCTGTCCCGTTATTCTAAATAGGATTCGGTATCGAGATAGTCTAATTCCCGTCCCGTCCCGTGCCCACCCCTAGACCACTTTAGTTTTAGTGAAGTAAAATTTTATCTTCCGTGAAATTTTAAATTAAGATATCGTAATATTTTGTCCCACGAATATTTTTCATTTATAATTGATTTTACATTATTTTTCTTAATGAGATCATTGTTTATGAGATGTGTGAGATAATTAATGTGAGTTCGCCCCCAATGATAGAAATTCTTGGATACCCCCTGGCTGGATTGGGTTTTGTCTGGATGGATTTCACCTCAAGGTGGAGACAATTGGGGGTGCTTGAGTGAGGCAATTTCTGGATCGAGTCCTGATTCGGTGGATTTCAGCTAGGATCTTGGCTATATGTTGCATGTGCGTTGCTAGAGTGCTGTTGGATGGCGATGTCAACACAGGTGAAACAAGTGATTTCTCAAGCTCCCCTGGGTATTAACCTTTCTTACATTCCCTGTGATGGAGTATATGGGTCCAGACCCCATAACCCACATACTCAGAAGACTAAGAGGAGCACAGCTGTCATCCAGTGGGCCCTCAGTCGGCCAGATGGCACCCCATCGGCCAAAGAAGAGTCAATCCAGAATACGCTCCAAAAGCCAAGGAGAAGACTTGTCCTCCATCGGCCAGTGCCTCCCTCGGCCGGTGCCTCCCTCACGCTAAATCGCATGGCGGCAAACCTGAAAGAAGGCCGGGGTGACAAAATCTCCACAAAGCACATTGTATCGGCCCCTTAGAGCGAAACTCTCAGGTATGGCCGGCGATGTCCCAGGATGAAAGGCGCGCAAAATGGCCCACGACTTGAAATAAGAAGCTCACCTCGTCATCCTCACGCTAATCGCAGGGCGGGAAGCCAGAAAGAAGGTCGAGGTGACAAAATCTCCACAAAGCACATCATATCGACCCCTTAGAGCGAAACGCTCAGGTATGGCTGGCGATGTCCTGGGATGAAGGGCCCGCAAAATGGCCCACGTCTTGAAACGAGAAGCTCACCGCATCGTCCTCGCGCTAAATCGTAGGGCGGCAAGCCTGAAAGAAGGTCGAGGTGAATAAATCTCCACACTTGGGGTTGGGAAACGAAAATCGTCGGTAATCGACCAAAAGCCTGAGCCTGCACCGTAAATAGACGACGGGACCCCCTTAAGATTGAGGGACGATCCAGCGTCAGAGGGCTAACAATTGCCCTCCTGGACTCCCTATCGGCTGAGGGAATAGCAACCCCCCTCGGCCAAGCCTGAAAGAAGGATACACACTCCCCGCTCAAGGAAGTAAAGAGGAAGAAATAAAAGAGGGACAGTCGAAGGACCGTGCACTCGTCGCCCTGGAGAGAAATCCCCATAAAGAAAAGAGGGACAGTCGAAGGATCAGGCACTCACCGAAATAGAGCGAAATCGCCACAAATAAAAGAGGAACAGTCGAAGGACCGTGCACTCGCCGGCCTGGAGCGAAATCCCCACAAATAAAAGAGGGACAACCGAAGGACCGTGTACTCACCGGCCTCGTGCGAAATCCCCACAAATCAAGCCACATATTTGGCTAAGTACATATCAGGCAAATACTATGCATTGTGGACGAAGCAATATCATACATGCGGATCAGACGAGCGCCAATGCCTTGTCCTTCAGCAAAGGACGGGCGTCCTGTTTAAGCAAGAATTAAACTAATCTAAAATTATATGTATGTAGGGATCGTACAAGAAACAAAATGTAAAAACTGAAGATTAATGAATGAAATGTATTAATCTGAGTGTATGAATGAAAGAATGGTATTACAAGTGCATAGATAATCAAGCAGGATTGATCGTGCCTCCCTATTGTAAGTTCTCCTATATTTATACAACAATACTATTCTACTTAGGTGGTTCAACCGTCCGCCGGAAGTGTCTCCTGATTTCTAGGCTCCGTCATTCAGTTGGATGCTCCTACCAAGTCTATTCTTATCCGATTCATTTGACCTTTATTCAATTGGACTTCGTCTTTTAGGAATGGGCCGATCTATTTATATTTCCGTGGCCCAACAATTGCCCCCAATTCAAAGAAGAGGAGGGCGCCAGTTTCGAAAAATTAAAGGGCCAACCGATTCTTTGAATTTTTCATCATGACATCGCCTTGGAATGTGTAAGGCCGTCAGTCGTTCAGTATCAATCAATCACTAATCTCTTCTTCCCTTAATGAATTAGTTCAGCAAGAAAAACTTCCTCTCTTCTCCTTTTGATTTCTTGCAAATCCCGACCAGCGCCTTGGTTCTTCATGGCTTCACAACCCTTCATTCCGCAACACATTTTAGATCCGAAGAACTCAAAGCAAGCGAAACTTTCAGAACATCATGTCGACTTTATCAGGTCATCTATCGGCTTTCCCCATGATGCGGTTATTCGTTTTCCAGCAGCGAACGAGAGGATAGATTGGTTCTGTGATGGTTGGGTAAACTTCTTGATGTACCCTTTCAAGATAGGTATGAAATTCCCATTCTCACGTTTAGTCCGAAACTTTCTTGCTTTCGTCAGAATATCGCCTTCCCAAATCATGCCCCAAGTATGGAGGGTACTCAGAGCTTTAGAGGTCTTGAGTGAGAAACATAGTTTGGCCCTGGATTTTGAAGACTTGGGTTTCACCTACGACCTCAGATCTTCAGGAGCCGGTCGCTTTACTTTAGCAGTGAAGGAAGGAAAAGAGGCCCTCATTCATAAGGTGGACAAAGCTAATGACCGGGGATGGATGAATTTGTACTTTTTTGTAAACAAAGAGTCGTTAGGTACTGACGGATCATTCCTGGAAGAGAATTTACACAAAGGTTAGTTTCTCTTTCGAATCGTGTTTCTTGACTTGCTCGGTTGATTTCCGTCTTCTATTTTTGTTATCTGATTTGTAACCTCGGGTGTAGGTAATGGAAATGGGTAATTTCAGAATATTTTCTGCGTTCTCGGATATATGTATAAAACTTGATGTATTTGGCATTGTTTCTCTGTGACGTGCAGAGAGGAAGACTATTCCACTGGTTCCCGGTCTGCATTCTGAAGAGAGAAATGCCAGGATTCTTTCGTTCCCTATCGAGGATCGAACTTATGTGAACCTGGTGTCAGACTTTCAAGGTACGTCACCTCTTCCTGTTGAGTCTGATTATGTGGGGTTAAGGCGGTCTCGCAGGCACACCCCTACCGCACACGATTTGAATCAGAATTCACATGTCGTTTCCGTAGAAGATTCAGGTCAAGGATCTGAAGCTTCCAAAGATGATGGCGAGGGTATGAGCGCTTTCGTCCCTTTACAAGTTGTTTTTCCAACTGTTAAGAATACTCCCGTGCCCCCATTCAAGGATTCTACTCCTATTGCAGGTATTATCTGAGGTTTATGCTCTTCTTTATTAGTGCTG